AAATAAATCTGATGTTAACACAAAACAACTGTCAAAGAGAACATTTTGTTTAGCATTGTGTTTAGTTTTTGTGTGTTTGTTTTTGTTTGTTTTGTTTTTTTGGTAAATTCAAGTCATAAACTAACAATTTATTATGTAAGCTTCAAGTTATATTGGATTTATTTTTTATTTAATCATTTATGTTTTAGCCAAAATATAAGTTACATACACTCTTTTAATATTTGTAATGTTGCAAAATCATTCTCCTTGTTTGTATTTCTTTCTTTTCTTTCTTATTTCTAAATTGTACGAAATCTTTTTCTTCTGTCCTAGAAAACAAACAGAAAACATTTTAATGTTCTTGTTGATGTTAGGGTAAATTCTGTGAGTCATTGTTTAGAGATTCTACTGACTACAACAGAGTAATGTAAGGTTACAAAGCTCCCTGGCTTGCCAATTAATTTTGTAGATTTACTTTACAACAGAGGCAATAACTTCACTTTCTCCACTGTCTGCTAGCAGGGCACATTATATAGGGGATTTTTTTAGACGTTTATTTGGCATTATATGAAGAAAAAACTGTGCTGTTATATCTATATCCTTCTGTTTCATAATTATAAATAGAAAGAAATTATTGTCAGTAAATTTGATTTGAGGTATTTCTTGTTCTGGAATTATTTTGGTTAAGATACAGGCTTCCGAAGCATCTTTTAATTTCTGTTTAAACATTTAAGTTGTTTCATCCCTTTTCTTAGAGCTTTCTTTGCTTTTATTTTCAATTCATTTTGAAGACTTTCATTGTATTTAATTGATTAATCATATATATTCATTATGATATCTTTAAACAGTTAAGTTGATATAGATGTTGTTAAGAACAGCGTTTGAGCAAACTAATTCATACAGTCATCAATCACCATTCAACAATAGCATGTAATGAACTGTGACCTGGAAAAGGGGGAAAAGTATTGCCTGCTTCCATGTCTACAAATTGAATAATGGAGCTTAACAGGAGTTAACGGCCATTTAACAGTGTACAGGAACCTGGGAGAATTTACGCTGACAGTTGGTAGCTTGTAATTCACAGTTTGTACCTACTTAACTACTTGTAATCAAGACATCATAGGCAAGCAATTAATCAATCAGTAAGGAGAAAAAATCAATTAGCACCCAATGATTGTGATATACCACTAGTGGTTAACTTGGTTTGTTTCTACGTTGACAGGTAGCTGTAACATAAGTGACAACTTACATGAATGACAGCACGATATAAGCCAGAGGGCACTTAATATGAGTATCATATAAAATCCTAGTATTTTATACCATAACAAGTAATTAGACAGTCCGCTTATGAAATAACTGTTACCTGAAAGACAAGGTAAATTTGTTTTTATAGGTCGGTGTTATGATTATTTAGTGACATGACAGAAAGTGGTTAATTTCCGCTAATTATAGAGATTTGCTACCTGTTTGTGGTTTGATAACCTTTATTAGGTTAATGAAAGCTGGCCAATGTTTAGTTTCCCTCTGCATCAGCTTAGTGATAAAGTTATCTTCTCTTTTTGTTTCCCAAACACCTGATATTGTCCTGTTTAAAAGATTTTGTGTCGTAATAATTATAGTTTAAACGTTTAAATTTGGTTTTTAATGTGAGGTGGAAAAAAAAGGTAAGTAAAGATGATTAATTCTGTAGGGCACGCCAAAAAACAACAACAACAGTATCAACAATTGTCAAATGTTATGTAGAGGATTTAATCTTTAACACATAATTACAATCTCAGTTGAAGGTAAACAGTGACATGTTGAGGGAGAAAATATATGAATACTTAATGTGTAGAGATAACTGCCATTGCTCAGTATGTTAACTATGTGTCTCCTGATTTTTCACTAGTTTTATCTGTATGTAAATATACCCAGTAGTGATAACATTGCACAGAGGTATGTACAAGAATTGATAGTTGTCAAAGCAAACTTGTTGACAATGAAAACTTTAACAGAAGTATTTGTTTGATATAGACGCTTAAGCAACAGTTTTTATTTCAATTATTTGTCTAAAAATAAAGTGAGACGCGTAATAAAGAGCTATGATTATTGGTAAAAGCTGTTACCACTGTAGGGAAGGAGAAAAGAAAAATAGATACATGGCATGAATTGAAAATAATGTATATACATAGAGATGACATAAAACATCTGTTAATGTCTGAAACAAATACTGTTTTAATTAAAAAGTCTTGGATCCATAGCATTGATATGTTCATTTAAAGATTAATGTGGCAATTCATTTTTCATTGTCCGGATATCATCAGATGATTTTCTTGTCATTTAAAAAATTCTCCTTTCAATTTTGGTTGATGCATTTGGTCCTTTTTGAACTTTATACTCTTTAAGAAATGATGCATTTGATTTTTTTGGAATGTTCAAACTTTTTCATTTCTGGTCCTCTTGGAACATTCTGCTCTTCCATCTCTTGTTGATGCATCTGGTCCTCTTGGAACATTCTGCTTTAATCCTTTGTTGATGCATCTGGTCCTCTTGGAACATTCTGCTTTTATCTGTGGCTGATATATCTGGTCCTCTTGGAACATTCTGCTTTTATCTGTGGCTGATATATCTGGTCCTCTTGGAACATTCTGCTTTTTCATCTGTGGTTAATGCATTTGGTTTTCTTGAAACATTCTGCTCTATAATCTGTGGTTGATGCATCTGGTCCCCCTTTAATGCAGATGGTCTTTTTGGGACAATCTTCTTTTATTTTTGGTTTGTTCCTGTTATAATTAGAATAACAGCTTACAGCATGATCTTGTCTTCCTTTCCACGATAGATGTAATATAGTTTAGTTCAATTTGCTGCAGATCAACATATACCGGTAATTGTCTTTTATTGATGAAAACTATATACTTAAGTTTGATTTTCATTGTTTTTGTTTATAGGAAATGTCCCCAGCTTAACAGATCTTAGTTGATATCATATAACCATCTCCTTCTACTTTATTGATTAGTTGTTTACAGGGACATTAAAACTTGTTTTTCTTCACAAGAGTCTCCGCTAAGTAACAGACTGACTGATAAATATATTATTTCTCAGTATCTCTTATTTTGCTACAGACAATGTTATTTATTAAAGCATTAACTTATGCTAACTGCCCACACTTCAATAATATGTTTACCCTTGGAAGATAGCATCTATTTACTGGTGATTGACAGCTAAGTTGAGTTTACGGCCCTAGCAACAAGAAAATTTCTCTCAATCAGGGTGATAATTTCATGATCTCATTTTCAGTGATGTGATATTACAATGAAACAGAAGATTAAGCTCACGTTTTCTTTCAGGTTGAAACAAGACATTATAAATAGCCTCCTCGGTTTATTGAAAAGTCCACATTGGTTTTATTGATATGTAAACTGTTTGTCAACTTAAATGTCATACTAATGCTTAAGGCGGTAATTTTGACCTAGCTTAAATGTTACACTGAATTAAAATAATGGATCACAAGAGGTTTAACATGTTTTAATTGAAAATGGTAAATTCTTTGTGGTTTTTTTTTATGATGAAGGAATAGAGTAGGTCTATGAATTATGGTAACTTTTGTATGGTCATTTTAATAGGGAGGGGAACTTGAAGGTGTTTTTACAGTCTTGTTTGGGACTTCCCCGTTTTTCGTAACAAATTAATTAGTTACTTTCTTTCATAAAGGGGCATATTTTATGATCAAATAAGGAAGTTGAAATTGTTTGTCATTATTTGGGACTCAAGTTTTGTATTGAGTAACTAAGATGTTTGAATTTAAGATAAAATATTTAATCTTTGAAAAACACCTTCAGAAGGAGCCTGTTATCATGTAACGTAGCGTTACAGCACAGATAAGCAGTATCTTCATTACTGCACTTTATTTGGTTACAGCGTGTCCTTAAAACTGTTGAAAACTTGAAATTGATTTCACAGGTCATACTCCTAGCTTAATAATCTCCAATGTTAACAGGTATGACATAGCATAAATGTAATTTTAGATGTATTTTTTTTAGCTCCCAGCGATGAAGATTAGGTTTGTTCAGGCAATCATTAAATGTTACAAAATCACAAAGATTTTGATATAAGTCATGGATATATTATTTTTTTTAGGAAAAAAGAAGATATCTGTAAATTGTTAGTTTTGATTACATGTGCTGAAATAGCGCTATTTGGTAATGTGATGGGAAAGCATTTTAATTCACACTGATATAGTATTAAGGTGAAAGGGCAACTTTTGATTGTAAGGATGTATGAAATTTACATAAATCTTTTTGAAAAATAGCCAAAATCATACAAAAAATATTCTGAAAGAACAACACAGTTACTCATTATGTAAAAATTTAAAGCTTAGAACAAAATTTTTGCATACATAAACAAAATAAAAAATTAAGTGACACTTATAGATTGTTCTGTCAATTGCAATATATAAATGAATCTCTAATTGTTGCACAATTACACAAACATGAAATCAGTCAAGTTTTTGGACTATATTACAGCATATATTGTCAAAAACTAAGTGTGTTTATCAAGAGAATGTTTCCGGTCATGTTTGAATCCAGGAAGCATCACTTAGCAAGACAACTTTTCCTCTAAAAGCTCTAACTCTCCTTTGCAAAGCTTTTTTTATACATCAGGGATAATAAAACAAAGGCAATATATAATATGTAAACAGGAAGCTTGAGGCATGTCTTAATTTCGCTCTATTTAAACACTTGATGAGTGTTATTTTGGTGTAACAGTTTTCGATAAGAATCAGCAAATTGAAGTACCTCATAGCACATGTTACAGTATCATTTTTGAAGAGGCTAAGATGATAAGAGTAATTTCCCCTTCTCATTGATGGACAGTTTATTTGACAATCCTTCATCAGATATAGAAGAGGCTCAAGTATTCTATTCTTATTAATGCATTGGTGTTGTTGACATTGGTGCCAACATTGGTGACTTGTGTGTAAGATATAAGTGGTTAATGTTTAAGTTCAAATAAATTAATAAGCATAATGTTTCTGATTTCAGTGACCCAAATGTTGGATGGCAAGGTCAGCACGGTGGGGCTGGTCCCCAACAGTCTCTGTCAGTAGTAACCACAGTGTGGGGAGTCACGCCTACAACCCAGACGACCCCATACAACCACACAACCCCTGGTGGCTACAACACAAACACTACAATGAGCAACACAAACTACACACAACCACCTCAGGGATTCCCCGGCAATCAGATGCAGAAACCAGGCTACGAAAGTAACGCAGGCATTTACCAAAGGAGCAATTCTTATCCATGTCCGAGGTATCCTTCGCTTTTTACATATATTTGGTATTAAGTCACATTGACACTGATAAGGTCCTGTCTGGGGAATACCCTAGATGCCCCTACTTACATTAACCTTTAGCTTGCTGGTGGAAGCATATTCTACCCATGTGACCAGTGCAAGCTGTGATCAGCCGACATGATGGTGCACTGCTTGCTATTCAGTCAGTGAATATTTTGAATTGTTTTCTAAAAATGATAAATGGTTTTGTCCAGATTGAAATGGGCAAGCCGATTTATGATATTTAGCATGATGGGGTTTAGCTTGAGGAACTACTGGATGTTTGTAATGTACTGAGGGGAGGCTTTCTCGCTTGAATGAGTTTTTAATATCCTTGCCAAGACTCAAACCCATCGCAGTGATGCACATCGGCAAGTTTTTTAGGAATTTATTGCAGTTCTTAAACTCTTAACATTGATACAGTTACACACCCAGCTGTCTGTTTTCTGACAGATTTGTCATTGACCTTAGTTGTATTTGGCATTTATTAAATTAGTATTTGATTATTATTTCCTATTACTTAATAATACCTCTTGACGAATTTATCTAAAATCTATTTTGAAGAGCCTATCTATATTTCATAGAAATAATCAGTGATATGATCTTGCGTAATTATTCAACATTTCTGAGAAAAAGTGAACATTAATAGATAGGAACAGGAAACAATATATGAGCAGGATGAGGGACTGGTCTAAGATATAGATTAGTAACGGGGGTTGAAGGTCAATATAAGGTTACTGATAGCTTCAGATGGTGTTTGATTGGGAGGAAAACAAGAATAATTTATAGTTTTATATGATATGAATATTTCATCAGCATTTGAAATTAATGATATGTAGCTTATGTTTTATGCAACAATTTGTTGCTATAATAGATTGTTACAAGGTGTGTGTGTGTTCTTCATGTATTTACTGATCACTTTATGTTGTGTTTTACAGTGGTTATCCACCAACCCCCAATACCCCAGGATCAAACACACCCGTTTCTATGGCACCAAAGAATGACTACCATGCACCACCAGCAGCATTGTCTGCAGCAGCTCTGGTGGCAGCCGCAGCTACGGCAACAGCAACTGCCACGGCAACGGCAACCTTATTACAGGAGCAGCAGACACAGCAGCAACAGTTTGATATGCAGTATAATAACCAATATAATCCTCAGATGCAGGTAAATAAAACATTTCTCCCCTACATATATACATTATTGAAGAATAGGGCTAGAATAGAGCTATAAAATATTACTCAACTCGAGATCGGTATTGACATCGCTCTTTAGTTAAGTTTTTGGGTACAAGTTCATATATCCCAAGTTTTTGTGTGCAAGTTCTTAAATCAAACTACTGAAAGGAATGGGTTGCAACTTCACACACTTGTTCTCTGTGATTATCTTACATGATCATTGATGGGCACAAGACCCATTACTGTTGAGTTAAGTTTTCACAGAGTTATGCCTATTTTCTATCTGTCGAGCACTGAGAAAAGTCAAGCGCACTGTCTTATGGGTAGCTCTTGTTGGTACAGTATAATTTAAGTTAAAGCTTCATAATTGCAGCTCAATCATGGTAAATTTGTGTTATATGTAAAAAGCATATTAAGCTCTGGTCTTGTAACAGTAAATATCCAACCTTTGAGCCCAGTTCTCTGAAAAAATGAGTTGAAAAGTGAAAAGTTATTACTAATCTTAAATTAATAATTTAGATAATTAAATAGTGATTGAGATAAAAAAATAATTTTACTGTTAGATTAAGATTTCCGTGATAACATTTAAGTGCCACGTGAGTTAAATCTCGCAGAGGAAAACTCCATGGCTCTTAGGGAGAGGAAAAATTTAATACAGACATTATTGATGTCCTTCAGTTCTGTACAAATGGGTCATTTTCAAATAATTTTCCATTGTTAATTAGCTTGTCATAGTTTTTGACAAAAATTGACCATCTGTCATATTACAATAAATAACGGCACAAAGAAAATCGCTTTGCAAATCTGATTTGTCATTTTTCCAGACTCTCCGGATCAGTCGATGATATGGCAAGAAAAATGAATATAACAAATAGTTTGTCATTGCAGGGAGAAAATACATTAGATCAAAGTATTTTATTACATAGCACTTAATTTGTAAATGAAGTTGGCTGATAACAGCCTATGAGAATCAGTTCTATGTACCAGCAGGGATGGCGCGGATAATCAATAGAGAACTTGAAATTGTTCCGTTGGCATTTCTCTTGTTTTTACCCTGTTGACAGTGCGGAGACTGTTTGATTAATGATGCCGAAGAATAAAACTGCCGATTGGAAAAGTATGCTAGCTTTCCCCCTGTCTTTAGAGTTTCCTGAATGAAACAATTGCTCCGTTATCACTTCTAATTGTTTAATTGCTTGACAATACTCATGTATTTAAGACTATAACCTTTTTTTAATCCTGTTTAAAAGATTGGGATATATCCGGGGTTTTTTTTGCTCTTCTTCAATTGGTATTTCAGGAATAAAGATTTGTATTAAGTATAAGTGATTAACAGAAAAGATAATGTAAATGTGCAAGGAAGTTAATTTAAATTGTAACAATATATTGTATTAATTAAAAAGTTTGGATAGTGTATTGTTTTACATATATATTTATATATGTAAGTAATTAAAAAAAAAACACACAACAAAAAACCTTACTTATTTTGATGTGTATGTTTATGAAAACATTACTTTGCCATCTAGATATTTTTCATAGGTTTATGAGATTGTCAAAAAATAATGTTTTGATTTGTTGCTACAGATAATTTACACCCACCACCCACATTTCTTCCCCCCCCCCCTCCAAGACCAAACAGAATCCGAAAAATAATCAAATGAACTTGTCATTAAAAAGTGACATTTATGTTTATTTCTCAGATTTATGTAGGTTGTGAACATTATAGAAATTGAAGAGTGAAAATGTCAAATGTTAGTACATGTATATATAATTAATATTACTAATAGTACATAGTGTTGTTGCATTTAAGTCACCATAAAATGAATCATTGAATTTAGCTTACAGCTTAAAAAAACAACAACAACAAAACAGACTTGTCATTGGTCACGAGTTTTGTACATATTTAAAATTCCAATGATAGTCATTGTTTTAAGATGCAAACAAAAAATAAAATGAATCAGTTATTTACTTTAAAGATCCCCCCACTCCCAAAAAATAATGAATAAATAAATAAAAAAAAAAAAAAATACAGATTTGCTGATGGAATTTCATAAAGATTTTAAAACGCTCTCAAAAATTTGTTGTGACAACTTCCTGTTAACAGTTCGAAAGACGTAAAATGAGCCCAAATTGTCGTTTTAACGAAAGAACTGTAGAAGAGAAATTTTAAGAACTGGAATTAATGAAAAACAGAAAAACCTCACAAAAAATTGACAGAAAATTTCTAATTTTCTGAAGTTTTGGAACAAAAGAACTAATCAAATAATTCCACTGTTCTTTTTTTTCTTTCTTAATTTGTTAAATAACATTCTGAAATTTGATGCCTAATTTATTAAGCCAAATAACTAAACAAATCTTTGCAGAATTAAATTATATTATACAATCATATATACATGTATATGGTATTTCAAAATAATATATGATATGTCTATTTAATTGTTTTTAGAATGTTTAAGGTTATCACTGGTATTTTTAGTAACTTTGATTCTTCAATGTATTTTGTCATAATAAAAATAAAATTACTACTCTCATAGTAAAAAGTCCTATAGAAAGAATATATGAGCTGTGTCATGACAAAACCAACATAGTGCGTTTGCGACCAGCATGGATCCAGACCAGCCTGCACACAATCCGCGCAGGCTGATCAGGATCCATGCTGTTCGCTTACAAACCCTATTACAAGTACAGAAACTGATAGCCAACAGCATGGATCCTGATCAGACTGTGTGGATGCGCAGGCTGGTCTGGATCCATGCTGGTCGCAAACGCACTATGTTGGTTTTGTCATGACATGGCTCATATCTGGCATAGGTCACTAAATTGTCTCAAACATGTGCAGTGAACACAGCCTTGTGTGCTTAGCATGAAAAAAAATCTTAGAAAAAAAAAATCAATAAAAAAAATTACATTGCACTTTGTTGGTAAGTTTGTTGTTGTTCTTGTTGTTGTTTTTTTGGCATCAGAAACTTTCTCCTTAAAGATCAATAGTTTCTATAAGTGTACTTAATTCTCTTAATTAAATCTGAAAGTGTCGGACAGATGATATTGTATAATTTGTCGGAGAAGAGGAATTGTAAGGATATTATTTTACACTTGATTATACTAACAATCAATACAGCTCGGAAAACGTTTCTAGGAGACAGCTAATCTGAAGTTACCGTATTTGTTTCAAGAAATTGTCTTGCTATGATGTTGATTTTTTTATGACAAATACGTGAAAATGATTGTCAAAGGGTCGGTAAGTATTTGTGGCCTATATTGATAGGAACATAGAAAAATGCAAATAGCAAACTACTGTACCTTATTGCATGAATAAGTTAACGCGAAGTGAGTTTTTTTGACAGAATGCTTTTAGTAGTAACCTTGTTACAGCTTGCAGTTGGTTGGCCTGTCTGTCTGCTTACCTTTAACTTCATCATGCTTATTTGACCAAAGTTATATCTATTTGAATTGTCAGTAACAACAACAATAGATAATACAGGAAATCTTCATTGAGGTATTCTAATTACTTGACTTTAAACAAGTTGTTGCCCTTTTGTTAATGTGGGGGTAGGGGTTCAAGAGAACTACTAGATGAGTATGTTAAAATGTTAATGTTAAGTTTAAAGAACCAAGCACCTTTTCCCTATGTTAACTGTATATACCTTGTGAAATAGGGCTCTCAAAATATATATTAAAAATCTATAGGTCATTTAATAGAACATGTTTGACACTATATATAAGGAAGGTGATAGTGATCATACTGCCTCATGGACCGACAGAATTGTCGGAAAAAGTTTGATAGGAAAATGACATCATTATAAGTGTTGGAGATATTTTCCTTGTTTTGAGTTAATTAACATATAAATTTCCTTAAATCTCCATATTAGTGAAATCAGGCATTTTCGTATTTGTCTTTCGTGATGCTGTATGATTTGTGTGAGACAAGAATAAAAATAGTTTTACATCTTGGCTTAGTGTCTGACTGTCACAGAAAATTGACAACAGTTTGAGAGTAGAGACAAGTTGAGTTCCGTATTATGTGGCATTTAGCTACATTTTTATGATACTTTATTAGGCTGCCTTAGTTTTGTACGTCATCATGTATGATAAAGTTGGGAAATGAAGTAATTTGGCGCTGAGAGAATAAATACGTAATTGATTAAGGATGGTCAACCGATGATGTTTTGTATGTCAAATGGGCCAATAAACAATTTATTTTGGATAATGGATATTTTTCCTTGAAATTGTCCTGTCCATTGTTGATTTAAGATAGGTATATGAAAATGCTGAAATAAAGAAACCAACAGATTATAGAGTTTGGTGTGATTGCAAAAATTGCCTGGCTACAAATTGGTGTGCAGGCTGGCCTGGCCCTACACTGTTGAGTCTAGGAAAGTAATTACCTTAATTAACTTTAAGCGTAGTACTATGACTAGTAATACGTCAGTGTGCCGCTTTACCCAAACTTGCAATCAAAAATCATAATGAACATAGTGAAAGTTAAAACATATTATTAAGATTAGCCAGGGAAATAAAATTGTTGAGAAGCTCTTTTCATTGATAAAAAATTTATTGATATACATTTGTATTTCAAAAAGTGTAAAAACAACAGAAGTAGGTCCTTATGTGGTAAATGATAAGATGTGTGAAAAAGAATTGAAATGTGGTTGTAATTACAGTAATTATTATCAAATACAGAACAATGTAGTAGATAATTCAATTGTAACATGCCACAAAATACATTTAATAAGTGAATTTAATCATAATCCTATGAAATAGGGGAATTTGATCATATTCCTACCAATAAATGTACCAATAATAAAGTCATCCATTTTTACTTTACCATACTTCGAGGTTTTAGTTTAAAAAGGTCTTTCTGGTATCTGATATATTTCATATTGTGAGTTAGTTTCCAACAAATATTTTGTATATACATGATGTTGTATACTTTGTTGTTGTTTATTTCAGATGGGCCCAGGTAATCAAGCAGCTCAGTATAACAATCAAGGCTATGGAGGTATGCCACAAAGACATCCAAACCTTATGGGTACTGGTCGTACACCGGGTCCCGGGCCTGGGCCAGGCCCGATGAAGAGTAATATGATGGCCATGTATCATCAGAGAAGGGCTGCATCAGCCCCGTATCCCCAACAAATGATGAATAGCATGCAGGGTATGCCAACCAAACGTCCAATGTCGCAATATCCACCAAATGGAGCACAGGTAATTTTATTCATAACTGTTTTTCAGCTTTTACAAAGTAAAGAGATTTTTATAGGTAAAAGAAAACTTTTAATTCACTTTATAGAAATGTGGTAATTTTTAAAAATTGTTCATTCTTCAATGGTACTTTATACCATCAAATACTTTGGAATCAAAGAATTAATTGTTGCATTTAAAATGTTTTGTATTTTCAGTACGGACCTCAGGGGCCCTATTCCCAGTACCCAACAAAACCACAGTATCCCAGCCAGCAGCCCCTTCCATCACCTACATATGGCCCACCACAGCCAGGTATGAGACCCAATGGGCCATATCCAAATGGTCAGAACCCATATATGACCCAGGGACAATACCCGCCAACACGGCCTAGCATGAATGGCCAGAGCTATAACCACTACTCGTCCAGTCCTACACAAAATACTTTTCAGGTGAGATTCTTACTATACAGTTCATGACTTAGTAATTTATATAAATGTATGCCATTATTATGAGGACATAAATGGAATAAAAAAAGCACACCATCAACGTGACAGGTATATCAATTTCTGTTAACGAGAAAACACATTTATCCTGCAGCCTGTCTCCTATCTCTCAAAACAGGATCAATAGATTCAGTGTTTGAAATTAAAAGATAATGATTATTCCATTGATGAATACTAGAAATTAGTTTTAAGTTCGAAACAATGACATTTAGTAATTATCATGGTAAATTTGCTTTTGTGTGTTTTTCACTGCACCATAGTTTCTTATTGAAAGATATTAATAGGTTTTCTATTAATAACCTGAAATCAGTTCAATGTTGAACTAGTTATTTGAACACTCTCTGGGATAAAAGGTAATTATTTTACACGGAAAAAAACTGGAACTTTTTTATTAGATAAAACTGTATCTTTAATTTATAGAGAATCTATTTTAGTTTGATTGTGTAGGAAGCTATAAGCTTATAAAAACATCCTGCTACCAACCGGTACTGAGCCATTCTGAGTGTAAAGTTTCTTGCTCAAGGAAACAATGACTTGCTCTTGTGTACCTGGCAGGGTTTGAACCAACGTGGCAAGCAACCCTTAGATTACTTGTCTGACATATTAACCATTTGGCCATGTCACCATATTTTTAATTAAGAAACCTTTTCATTAAAAATGTGGAAAGGAACCATCCAATTATAATTTGAAACACATTGAAATTTCTCTATAAATTTATATATTGTTATCTACTATTAAGACTAAACTATCAGAATTCTTTATTTCACTTACCGCTTTGGGTTCGAATCCCGACAGGGATTTTAGATTCTTTCATGTGAGGAAGCTATTCAGCTAGCTTACGGAACGTCAGTGGTTCTACTCAGGTGCCCGTTCGTGCCTGAAATAATGCTCGGAAGGGCACCTGAGGTCTTCCTCCACCAGTAAAGCTGGAAGGGCGCCAGATGACCTATACTGTGTTGGTGTGAAGTAAAACCCAAACAAACAGAGAATAAGGAACTGAAACTTGAAATATTTTTAAGAAACAGCACTTATATACATATTAAAGCTTTAGTGATTAACAAAGTTATCACCTTTCTTAATTCCATTGCAACAAAATGGAATATATAGAGTATCATATGATTTTGTGTACAAAAATCAAAAGATGTATTAGAAACTGGAATCCTCTGATGTATTTTGTAAAGGTTAAATGATGTTTGAAATTTGTTGTTACTTGGTTTGCCATTTCAAGATTTTCCGTTAGCAAGCAATAAAATACCATTAGTGATTTGCAAGCTTTGAAAGCACCAGTATTTTAGATCCCATTATTTGAAACATTAGAAATGAAGAAGAAAAAACTGAACACTCTGTGATATTTCATGCAGTAAATGAATCATTTGAGAACATTTATTTCATTTTGTCATGAAAAACATTCCGATTTTCAATATTGTAAATGTTACATGTATTACATTTCATTAATGCCTCCACAAATATTTATGAATGTTAAACCTTATAATAGTCTGCTCCTAGTCAGAAAAGACAGGTCGGTGGTTCTACTAAGGTGCTCAGTTGTGCCTGAAATAATGCACGGAAGGGCACTTGAAGTCTTCCCCCACCAGTAAAGCTGTGTTATTTTTATTTATATTGGTGAGATATGGACGAGCATCCACCAGATTGAAAATAATTAAGCTGGTTGAATGTAAAAATCAATGCTGCTAATCATGGTCTGCACTGTTCACTTTTAAGTCAGTACTAATATTGTGAAATTTCCCTTCAAAGATGATGAATTATTTTGTACAGATTGAAAGCTGGATAAGTCTGTTGAAGATATTTTTAAAAGCATGATAAGGGTTAAAAAAATTTATATTTTCAATACTGATGTATAAGATACAACAGATGTTAAGCAAATTATACATGTATTATATCTTGTATTATGTTGCTGTGTTGTCTTCATTTATTGTGTTGTTGTTTCAATGTATTTTATACCAAAAAAACAACAACAAATAACAACAACAACAGAAGGTTGAAAGCTGTTATCTCTGTTTTTGATGATTTAATGTTTTGGCAACAGATTGCTTTTAATTAAGTTTAGAAACTATGGATCAACTCTTCCAATTACATTAATTCAGTGTTCAATGACAGCAAGCTGGGACTAATTAAATTGTTGTCTTCTTTAAAAGTAAATAAAGGTGTTTGTTAAAATATAGCTATGTGAACAATAGGGATATGTTTTCTTATAGAGATTGAGAAGCAGAATTAGAGGAAAGTTTAATCTGTCCAAATTTTAGGTTATCAGATTGTTTTGTTATGTCCATTTCTCTAGTTTAACACTGCCCTGTTAAGTTGTTTTGTTTGTATTATACATGTATATTACAGTTACTGGCAATTACATTTATAATGACAGGGTTTATGTGAAACAGTTATATCTCAATAGTTTTCAAAAGGACAATATATCTCACCAAACCTGATACAACAAGCATAATTTTCATTATAAAAAACAACAACTTCAAAAACATTGACTAAATTATAAAATATATTTTATATAAATATATCGTTTTCATTTCAGCCAAATAGCAACATGAATTACCCTCATTCCCCATTACCAGGCAACCCTACTCCACCTATGACCCCAAACAGTGTCCCTTACCCACCTGATGTGAAACCAAATATGATGGCTGGCCCAGCAGCAGTAAAGAAAGGTAACTTATGTCTATTTGTTGTTTTCCTATTAAAATAAAAGAGTTCAGCTTCATTACACATGATATCTAATCTGCATAGTATACTAAAGAAAGTTGATTCGTTTATGCTGAATTTAACAACTGAATATTATTTGCATAATAATCTTAAAGCATTCATTCCCTTTTTTCTCCAGCAAAAATAATACTATTGACTTGTCTTACGACTTTTAAAACTATTGACTGTGTGTCTTAAGAGTTTTTATAGAATAATTTAAGTTTCTTGTTTTTGTTAACAAGATGAAAAGTTAATAATAATCAACAGAGTCTTTACTTTTCCTCTAACTTCATTTCTGATTGTATTATAGAAACTCTTCAAATCATACATGAAAGTCGTATTTTGTATAATAGAATTCAGGCCATTTATTGGAATTCAGGTCATTTATTGATAATTTAGAGGCAATTTTAATGTCATGTTATTATTCTATAAATGTAGAAATTGACGAGTTGAGGCTGACATTTCCAGTCAGAGACGGTGTTGTTTTGCCGCCATTTAGACTGGAACACAATCTGGCGGTCAGTAATCATGTCTTCCACCTACGGGAGTCAGTCTACCAAACTTTGATGTGGAGGTATTAGTTTGTTTCATTTTCTTTGTATATATAAATATGTTATACTACAGGATCTTTTTAATCAAGTTTGCAATTCATAAAGAAATGTGTTATAGTGGTCAGAAAGTGAAAATAGAGGCACAGTGTCATACTTTTACCAAATAAAGGAAGGTTACCTCAAATTAGAATATTTCAGACTACATTATTTTCTAGTGCCACACATAGGTATAGCTAGCTATAGAAACAAGTAAAAAATTAACAAACAGTTTAACATTTTGACAGGGATCGGAACAGAATTAAATATTCTATATAAATTGTAACTTTTTTTTGTATTTAATTCAACAAATTTATGCAAATATATATGTTTACATTGTTGTAGTGTTGAATGAAAGTCTGTTATATATGATGTTATAATTTTTGTATTTTTAGGTCTGATTTAGAACTTCAGTTAAAGTGTTTTCATCATGAAGATCGGCAGATGAACACCAATTGGCCGGCATCTGTGACGGTCAGTGTAAATGCAACTCCGTTACAGATTGAGCGGGGAGAAAATAAAACGGCGCATCGGCCACTTTACCTCAAAGAAGTCTGTCGGCCAGGACGGAATACAATACAAATCACTGTTACTGCATGTTGTTGTGTAAGTATTGAAGTTGGAGACATTGTCACTCTTATATATACTTGTTTAAAAGTACGTCTGCCTCCAGATGAGTCGTAACATTTCAAGAAAATAAAAAAGATTCAAGTAATAATTTACATGATATTTGCGATTAATGCCTGACTGTGCAGTATTTATTACAATATTTATATTGGTGACTTGCGCAGTAAGGGCTATTTGCATATATTGACCTTATTTGGGGAATTTACGTGGATTGTAAGTGCTATTTGCAATGTGTAAACTACTTTCTTGGTCACTTCACAATATTTTACTTATAAATAGATTTTTAAAATCTACATGAAAATTAGGATGAATGTACAAGCAGTCTGCTTTTAAAGGAATGTAGAAAGATATTTTAAGACTCTGAAGGCTCCTTCAAAAAGTAAAAACTGTCCTTTCACAAGGTTTTGAAAAGAACTCGCATGATTTTGATTCACAAGAAAATAATTATCTACATTTAAGATATTGTTTAAATAAACTAGTAAAAGCAGCTAAGTCAGCAAAAAAAAGATCAAGAAAAAGCTCTTTAGAACTACATAATTACACAGCAAGATAATGCAACATTTAGTCTGAAATTGGTCTTTATCAGTGTCTGGATCTTAAGTATATTAAGATGTAAAAGGGGAAGTAACTCTTAATATTGTTTTGATACTTGTAAATTAACAGTTACATACCCTGACATTCAAAAGTATATTTAAGGTTAGGTTATGATATTAATGTCACAGGATGAGAAAAATCTGCTGCCTGACCGGGACTCTAACCTGGAACCCTTGGTAAACCGTTCTGCGGGTCTACTGATTGAGCTTTTCGCCCCTTACACATCTCCCCTTAAAAGTGAGCAGTTCTGACCAGTGAAACCAATATTTGTAAGGTTTTAGAAAATATGAAAATTGAAATAATAAATGAAGATTTTAATGTATGTAATTTGTTTATTTTTCAGTCTCATTTATTTGTTCTTCAATTGGTACATAGGCCAAGTGTAAGGTCCGTACTTCAGGGTTTATTACGCAAACGTTTGCTACCTGCAGAGCACTGCATTACCAAAAGTAAGTAACTTTTAATAATTTTCATTGTTAAGTTTGTGTTAAGTCTTGTTTTAGACTTGTTTGAAGTAAGAATTGTATTATGAGGCTTCGGAAGGGGCAACAAACATGTCTGATTCTAAATTGATGGTATGTGCTAATCATTGAAGCTTTAGGGAGCGTATAACCTTCAGTACAGCATGGGAACTAAAAAGTTCAGATATTGTCCATGATTACAAAGAAGTTAAAGATTTTGGGATGGAAACCTTGTGTTCATGTATATTAAAGTGATGTACATTTATTCTTTCATAACCTTTTCCTTTATTTTTTTTACCAAATAAGTAAAATAACTTAATTTATTACAGTCAAAAGGAATTTCACGACTGCGGCATCAAACAATGGTGGAATCAATGGCGATGATGGGGTAGAGCAAACTGGAATCAAAATATCATTAAAATGTCCGATAACTTACCGACGGATAGCATTACCAGCACGAGGTCATGACTGTAAACACATTCAGTGCTTTGACCTAGAATCATACTTACAGTTAAATTGTGAGCGAGGCCAGTGGAGATGTCCTGTCTGCAAGTATGTACCTTACTGGTTCTTTGACACTTTTTCACACTTTGTCTTTGTTTATATTATTTTACAAATGTTGTTTTACAATTTTATGATTATTCCATTGTGCCTTACTTTAAAGACTTTGACAATTGAATTTTGACAATTAAACTTCAATGTTTGCTGAACTATTTTAACCCAATAGCCTATGAATAAAAGGTGTTCCACATTTATTCTTCACGTAAGGTGTACAACAAAACCTAATACTGTAATAGTTCTTAAATCAGTGAACTTGTGATCAGTGTACAAGAAGGTATATATATACCTGTAGATAAATTTCTACTTTATTTATAAATCATGCACAATGCAATATAGGTCTTGTATGATAAAATGTGTTGCAAAGATCAATAAAGAAGATATTTATGTTTACACTATGATATGATAATGTTTTACAGTAAGCCAGCATTACTGGAGGGTCTGGAAATAGATCAGTATATTTGGGGAATCCTAACAAACTTACAAAATACAGAATTTGAGGAGGTCACCATAGATCCAACTGCAAGTTGGAAACCTGTACAGCTGAAAAATATCAAAGAAGAGGAATCTGGAAGTAAGTTTTCACATCTTGTTTTATGTTTTATACTTAATAAAAAGGTCATTGTTTAAAAGAAAAATAAAATCAAATATATTCTACATGTATGAAGCTGGTGTTCTTGATTGAAAATTTCAAGATCATACTTGAGAACATAATTTTACTCGATTTGAAAATGTAAATTGATTGTATGAAATTTTTAGAAAGGTGGTTATGGGCAGAGGAGCATCTTGGGTTATTCTTTACATGTAAGGTAGATAAATCATCATAAGTATTACCTTAAAAGTTCTAGTGTCACTTAAAGAAATTAAAGAATGAATCAAGGATAGAGAACTTAAATAATATACTAATTTTGATTGTGTTTTGCAGCAGAACCATGTGCAAGATGGATGAAGGCCATGTCTCCAGCCAGTATGCAGTTACCCACTATGAACTCGTGGGATATGGGGCCGGCACATTCTCCATACAATAACATGCCACCTTCATCAGGTTAGTTATATAATACTTTAACCTAAATGTGTGTGATAGGAATACCCCTTGTATTGTTAATCTAAACTAGTTTGTCTATAAGTAAAAAAAAAAATGAAAAAATAAACAGTCATCAGTTCAAAGCTTGGTCAGACAGCATAGATGAGCAGGCCAGCCTTTTTCTTTACTAGTATAGTTGACATGTCGCCAAATCTTATTGTTTTAAGATGGTTAAATTTGATAAAATTTCTATGTTAAATGTATTAATAGCTTTATCATAGGCATATTGTTAAATGCATATCTATTTTAAGTTAAGATATAAGTTAAGGGAAAGTAAGATTTTGAAGATTTCTGAATTTTAGAAGACACAACATGATTTACATGTGATATATATATATAGCATCAACAGACAATAGGCTGTATAAAATTGACTGATTTGTATGATATTTCAGAAACAGTCTTGATTAGATAATTTTTATTGTGTTTTTTAGGTCCACCATATTCTTCAGGAAATTACGGTGGTGGTCAGGGCGGACCAGGAACCCCGGGCTCGTACCAGCAGAACGGGCCACAAAACGGGGATTTCAGTAATATGCTACCTATGTCACCTATCAATAATAACCTGGCGAGCATGAATTCTATAAACAATAATGACATGATGAATAAACCGATCAATCAGGCAGGAAATCAAGGTCAATATCCATTATCCCCGCCTCAAACAAATTCACCACATTTGCGCCATCCTGACCAAGGCATGAATAACCACATCCCACCCTCATCCAGTTCTAGCCAATCACAGCCCATTTGTACCAATAATTCAGCCAATGGGACGCAATCATCACAAATGCCCCATCCTCAATCACAAGCCCCACCCACAAGTCAGCAAAACACAGTTGGAGATGACCTGAACTTTGACCCAACTGCCATTATTGATGACGATGGATCAGGGCCATCTCTAGATGTAAGTCACAATTTTTATATTTTCATTATTTATACAACTTATTTTTTTCCTGTAAAATGTGAACATATCCATAATTACAATTTTTGTTGAATAATATTGATAATGATGTACCTGCATTTTATACATTTCTTTTTTGTCCGATCATTAATAGTGTCTACAGCAAAATGAAATTACTGTAAACCCAAACATGTTTGATAATTGTAATCATTAATCAACTTTGATGTTAATAAATGACAGTTTATTTATTGTAATACCTTCTTGCATTTCAGCTGGACACTTTAGGAGGTGATCCGCTAGAGTTGCTGTCATATCTTGGCCCATCAGAGGGAACCGATAACTCAACGCCCAATGGTTCTGCAAACCAGAATAACGTTAACAATGTGACTAGCACAAACACAAGTGAAGACATTTTGTCATTCTTTGAGTCATAGCTGTTATAAGATATTGTTATTATATTTATTAGAAATCAAAATACAGACATTTATTTAAATGCGTATCAGTAATTTTGATGACTTGGAACTTACCAAATATATATCTGGTAGCTCAGAGAGAGTATTTATATGATCGACATCATAGGGCGCTCAAATCGATTTTCAAGAAGGGTGAGAGACTGGGGTACTGAAGTGTTTATCATGCATACTCACTTGTATTATACCAGACAGTGCTAAAACCAATTCTGTATACAGGATGGGAAATATTTTAGACAAATGGGTTGGTGTTGGAATGGCTTGTGTTAGAAACGGCAAGGACAGCTTGCGTCGTTAGCCAAGGAATACTTTATAAGATGGTTGAAGAAGGATGATGGGAGAAAGGGGAAACAGTGCTTACTATACAATCCTGTGATTTGTTACTACTTTTTGTCATTTTACATTGTGCTAGGCCAGTGATAGGGGCGGTGCCTCATTGACATATAATACAAGCTTTGCTTGGCATGTTACATTATACCGAAGTGAAGTGTGTTAAAATGTTGACAGTAAAGTGAACAGTTTGAAACTTACAAAGTGAAAGAGATAGATAGAAGAGATAGATGAAGATGTTAGAGGAACAAGTGAAATTCAAATGGCTTAGAATGATCAATGATTCAGAAGAAAAAGTTTTCACTCAGTGAAAACATAGCCATTATTGGGGCTCTCAGAAAGATGGCAGTGGTGCCATGGAGGGGTTCTCACAATAGAAGTGTGATCTCAGACTTGAAATTCTCAAAACTTATTAACCCCGGATCAATTTAACATCATGAAACTTAACCATGATTCTAGTTCTCGTGATTATATACATATACTTTATACTGTGTATTTATTCAATGGCCAAGACAGTATTGTGACCATGACAATTGTTGCTCTGTGCCTGTGTTACTAAAAATAGCCAACAAAGTTCAAAATGAGGCCAAGTTTGTGTTTTTATGCTCTACCTTGTTTTTTTTTGTGGAGAACAGTGTTTCAAAGAGTTATTAAGAAGTTAGACTATTTGTTTTTACCTATTGTTCTAGTTGTGAATAGACTCTTTGAAGAGATAATATATATTTATCGGCAAGATTTTAGCAGACGTCAAATTTTGCCTAGAGTAAAAATGATGAAAGGCAGCAAAGTTAAAAAAAAGTATATAAAAAATATTTGTTGAATATATCATCAATATCAAAGTCCAGACATCAGTGTAAATATGATCTCGCTTGTAAGTGTTTAAAAACCCCATATGTATCAAATAACTACGGAAAATTGCATCAAATGAGCCGCGTCACGACAAAACCAACATAGTGCGTTTGCGACCAGCATGGATCCAGACCAGCCTGCGCATCTGCGCAGTCTGATCAGGATCCATGCTGTTTGCTAACCAACTCTATTACAAGTAGAGAAACTGATAGCGAACAGCATGGATCCTCATCAGACTGCGCGGATGCGCAGGCTGGTCTGGATCCATGCTGGTCGCAAACCCGTTATGTTGGTTTTGTCATGGCGCAGCTCAAATTGTTATTTATTTATTTTGTCATTTAGATGAGTTTTTTCCTTAAGTAGTATGTATTCATATATATATTATATATATATTTTGTGTCCAAAAAGATGTGTGTTTTCTTAAAAAGGCATGTAGTTTATATATATGTGGCATATCTTCTAAACAAAAGCAATAGTGTGTTTATAAAAAAAAGATGCAATATGAAATTTGAAGGTATCTGTGCAAAAATAACCAAAAATATTGATACATCAACTTTTTTTATCAGTCTGTGTACTAAAATGGTTTCTTAGCTTAATAAGTAAGAGAGGTTTCGTATTGCCAATAAGTTTTTCTGTTGACGTTTTACTTTTTGTTTTTTGTTCTACGTTAGTATCGCAGTATTGATTGTTTAAAATAAAATTCAACTGTTATAAATCAGAACTGATAGGATGCATTAATTAAAATGAAATTATTTTTTTATAATTAATGGAAAAAAAAATAAGTAAGTCAACTTGGTCATGTAGATCTCAATGCGAATGGTGTTTTTGTCACCGATTGTTAGCTTTTCCAAGATATAAATGACTGCCAGCACTGAAAACAACTCTTATCAGCATTTATTCTTTTCATTTGAATTGAATTTTAGGTTATGAATTTTTTTAGGTTATGAAATGATAATAAAGCAACATAAATAATAAAGCAACTTACATATTCCAACAACCTTTTCATATTTTCAACGTCTAAAGGGTAATTCCTCTTTTTTTCCCATATTTTTGAAGCATCACAAACTTCTTCTTTTGATGTCATTATCAGAATGATTCATGACATAAAGGGTTGTTTCCTCATGCAGGCAGTCAAATATAGTATAGATTAATATAAAGATGAATTTTAAGATATATAAGACAGTATTTTATCATTTGCAAGAAGCCATACACCTTACAGCCTCTGTGTTTTTTTCCTATTGCATAGAATAGTGTTTAATGTTCTAAAATGTTGGCGATGGAAGACTTGATTTGCTTTCTGAATTATTTGAACAATTTATACCTCATTGTAAGACAATTTAATCTCAGGATTATTCTATAGTCTCTAAGCTGTTTTTAGTTTTGAAGAAGAAAAAAAAAACAAGTTTCAGGCATATGGTTTGAAAAGTATTTTATAATTGTAAAATTTAAGTATTAAGTTTTCCTGTATTTTTTTCTGGCTGGGGGTACGTGAATTAATCTTCTTGAGTGAGGAAAAGAATGTTTTTTTCAAATGTAAAATCTTGTTAGAATTATCTATGTAACTCAATATTTCATAATTGTTTCTCCTAAGTTGATAAACCTCCATAGTGTACACTCTAATGGGCAATACTTTTGTTAGCTATGATTGTTGATTCTTTCTTTATCTATGCAGTTATTAATTATTAAATTTCAATTTGTAAGTTGTATAGGGTAACAAAAATGGGTAAAAGATTAGTTTGAGAAAATTCCAGGATGGGTAAAAAAAAAGTTGTAAAATTTAATGTACACATCCTTCTCTCGACCTCCATTTCTTTCTTGTTTCTTCTTGTTTTCTTTCGTATATTTTAAGCAAATCAAGTGTTTATAGCAAGACTGTGGCATGCTGTTCTTTTAGTTTATTCAGTTACAATAGTATTGCATTAAATCCTTACCCTGCTGAAGTAGACTAAGACTAATAAGGACATAGTTTCAATGAAGTTTCTAAAAAGAAAATATCTTTTCCTGCAGTAGTTTTGGAATACCAACTGTTCAGCTTGTGACATAAGTTGAGTGAATTATATTTTTCTATCAAGAAGTGTACCTATAGACTGATGTTACTGTTTATTTTATGAAACATTGAGTTTTAAAATTAATTGATTTTCTGGTCTGAAATTCTTCAAGTTACGTTTTTTTTTGCATTTTATAGGGTTATGAGGGAAAAAACTTAATGACTTAAGAAATTTGTTGAATGTTTATAGGAAATTTCTTTCTTAAAAACAAATTCTGTAATTTTTTTTCTGAATGAATGCAGGGATGGATGTTATATTAACAAATAAGAATGATTGTAAAGTGAAAAAAAAGACATTACTTTGTAGAGTACAGTTATAGTTTTTTTGTCATTCAGATAAAGTTTAAAGGTCAATGTTATATTAAATTTATAAGTCATACATCAAGTATGAGTCATATATTATTGCATGAGAATAACTGTTAAGTAAATGTTACATTATTTTATGAAACTTTGATATGTAAATTTAGTTCTTCTCTGAAAAAAATGTTCAGAGCTTGGTAATGATGCCTTGTTTCAATTTACACTCATCATTGTATTTAAAAAAACAAAAAAAAACAACAACTTTATTTGGTCCAAGGAATTCTTTACATAAGGAGGTAATATTTCTTAAATGGTTGTCTTAGGAATGATTTACATACACATATTTTTCAAAAATAATTATTGACAGTTTTCAGAAGACCTTTGACAAATCATGACTACAGTTTTATAGGAAGTGGTGATTTTACTGTTACTGTTCTGTAGAGAAGTTCTATCTGTCCATTATTATCAAATGTGCTAGCATGAGGCAGTCAAGATTATAGAGTTTAGTATGGCTACATGGGAATGTAGGCTAGCCTGAATCTATACTGATATTACAGTGAAGTCATCATGGCTGCTATAATAACAGTTAAAATATTATAATATCATATAAAGGGTCATCAAAATCTTTCCTTGAACAAGTCAATTCAGAATGGCAGTTTTAACAAGTTTCTTTACACAAAATACACAAGTTTTAAAATAAAACAAAAAAATAGGAAACATTGGAATTCTTAATGCATTCTGAAGTCTTCAAGAAAAGTGAAATGTATTGTTAATATATTCAGTAGTTTTCAGAAGAAAAAAGGTGATCTTATTGTTTAAAATATCAATTTCAATAATTTGCATTTTCTGATTTTTGAACACAATTTTTCCCTGTGTGAATTAAGCATTATTTTGTCTGTTATACATTAAACATAGAACTTGGTTAGTTAGATATGCGGACATGAAAGCATTACGTTAGTATAAGCATCAGACCTTTTTTGCACAGACTCATTACAGGCATACGTAGGACCTGTGTATGTTTTATACTTTACAATGATCAAATATTTTTGACAACACATTATTATTCTTTTAAGATGACGCAATATTGTTTTTTTTATATATATATATAATTTGCAATTTACAAGTTTATTCATTTAAATCATTACTGCAATTTTTTGACCATTCAAATTTTACGGAATGGTTAGAAATAAGCACAAATCATGGACAGATTTTTTTTTCATTAAAAAAAAAATGACAATGTAATCTAAAATTGTATTGTTTTTTATCGTTATTTATGTTAATGTATTATCTGTACAAAGAATTTGTTTTTTCTGTATTTTTAGATATAAATGTGTAGGTAGTCTTGTATATAATATTCATATTTAAAATGAACAAATTTTTCAAGTATTAAAACTTCTGTTATATAAATATCATTCTTTGGGTTATGTTACCGTTGTACAGACATCGTGGAGTAGTCTTACTTTTAAAAAGTAAATGACTATCGCCTATCTCTTCCTTAAATCATCTCATATATTTACAAAAAAAGGCCACTTTTGCCAAGCTGTGTGTCAAGGTTTTGTCAGAGTTACCCCTCTTTGATATGAACTCTTCAGCTGGAGTACAGAAATTCTTTGTGATTAATTAGGTTCTTGCATCAGTCACCTGCTGTATTGTTTATGAATAAAAGTATTTATGTAGAAATTACTCAAACTATTTAAAACTGAAGATCATATTAGTGAACACAAAATAGTTGAAATATCTTCCATAAAGAAAACAGCTATGTTATTACAGTATTGCACAGTAATATATCACTCCTGACAGAACATTGTCACATGGCTTGTTGCGAGAGTATGCCTTTATTTGTTCCCACAAATTTTTAATTGTTATCATTTACATGTTACCCATCTTCATTTCTGTATTTCTTTCTACAAAAAAACATTTTCTGTATTCCTTTATAAAAACTGCAATAATCTGTTATAAAACTTCCCAGACCGGCCTGAAAAGTTTATACAAATATTTACTGTGACTGTTACATTAGGAATCACTTAACAGATGTACAAATAAAAGCATCCACTGTGAATAAACGTTTTCCCTATAGTTGATTTAACCAGAAGTTCTTCTTTAACCAATAAACAAATATGCTATTTCTTACAAAACCAATGTTATTATCTTATGTAAACACATCTAAATAAATTTATTAAGAGTAAAACACCAAGATATTAATTTTTAATATCATAGGAAGTCAAAATTGCAACAAATAATTTTCCAAAATTGTTGTCGATTAATTTAAATGGTTGTTATAATATTCCTCATTTCTTCCCATTTTAAATCTGTTATAGTGAATGATTATGTGTAGAAAAAGTCTATTGACTAATGGCGAAACACTGGTGTAATCAAAACCAATCCTTTGTTCATTAACATATTTTGTAACAAAATTTTATTGCAAAACTGTGCAATTTAAGTATCACCTTATAACCATAACATGCAATTTGTTTTTACTTCTACAGCAATATTTTATGTGTGCTACACTCTTGTTTAACATCAAATAGAGCAAAAAACGAAACCTAGAGATGTTGAATATCTGCTGAAAATATCAGATCTCTCCTGTCAGCCTATAAAATATACAAAAAATCAACTCCACCAACCTATATTTCATTTCTTTGTTCTTAACATATACTTGTATACAAAGTTATAGAGCACAAATTTTCAGAAGAGAAAGAAAACGCGTGTAATTCTTCCATAGTAATTATTGAAGATAGAAAAAAAGTAATGCAATTGTCTTTTTATTTTGGCATGAGTATTAAAAAATGTTTATACAGTCCACTGTATATTTGATTCAGCTCATCTTCTATGTATGATATATTGGTAAACCTTAAGCTCAATATACTTTGAATTTTGCTCATCTCTTATCAAACATCTCTTTAGCTCGTCTCCTTCATTTACTATCCCCCCATTCTATTGCAGTAAAATTTATTTTATATCCGTAAGAAAAAAAAAACAATATCAGCGGTTTCTGAAAGGATGAATTAATTTTCTCCTTCAAATTTTAATAAAGTTGTTAAAAAACATTTTTATTCTCTTGATAAGATTATTGTAGAACGTTTTTTCTTTGTACAAAGTAATGTTGTGCAATGGCATGCGTTGCTAACTTGTAAGGTATGCACTTGTTTGCATCAAAATATAAATGTATCTTAGTCCCTATCATGTGATCATTATTTATCTAATAAAAACAAAATATACTTGAAACAACTAGAGTTTGTTTTTACTTTGTCTCTAATTCTTGTTTTATTACTACTTCAATCGCAACTTGGACGGTCCCTCTTCTACCACGATTAAAAATGCTGATGGTCCTTTGCCTTTACAGAAAAGGGTTGATGCATCGAGAGCAAATGAGAACAAGGTTAGATGAAAATTGCAGGCTTGGTTAGGTTGAACCAATCCAAAATGCAACCCCTAGCATTGGCTTAAGCGGTATTAATGTGCTGGAACCACTGATCCTGAAGGACCAGAAAAATACTTGATTGCTACATGTACTTAAAAACATTATTCTGCATATGTCAGTGGTACTGAATAAACTTTTATGGGTGTGTATTAGTTTAATTAAGGACGTATATTATGGTGCAGTTACATACAGAAGAAAGTATAATGAAAGTATAGTGAACTTTTTATCACATATCATGGAAATCGAAATTGCGTACATGTTTTCAATATTTTGAAGAAGGAAAAAGTTTATCGTCATACCGGGCCTATATATATCATCATGCAATTGTCTGATTCTTGCCAACTGTCGTATATCGTAACCGTGTCTTGTAATTACTGAAAATGATGTTCTTTTAAATAAAAATGGTTAAACTAGAAAAAAAAACTATGTGAAACTTCTGGTTTAACATCCGTTTTAGAGACTTGCAATATATTTATCATGTCGTCATGGCATAACAAGAATTTAAATATGATAAAATCTAACTAACTATATTACTCGTTACAAGTCTTCTTCTGAGTGCCTCCCCCCCCCCCTCGTTATGTTCATCGGGAACTATAGTACTTATTTATTAATATTTTAGTTCTTATTGTGATCTTAGATACGTGTAAAAGTAATATCTCAAAGCATGACGTTTCTGCTTATATAAATTTGAAACCACAATAACATCGTTTGTAGGTACGCATTGTCTCATTGATTCAGAGCGACATTGTCTTAATGCTATTTTAATGTGGGATCTCATATATGTATACAATGCAAAGGCTTTTACCTTTTCATAGAACAATTTTAAAGCTAGATACCATATTATAAAACATTAACAAAGGCTTATATTTTTCACAGAACAATTTGTCACTTGGTGCTATAGCCTTAAGCATTAACAAACGTTTACTTTGTCACAGAACAATTTGAAACCCAGGTACTGTATTCTAAAATCATAAACAGACGCTTTAATTCATCACAGAACAATTTGAAACCCAGGTACATGTACGGCATTCTGAAATCATAAACAGAGGTTTAACTTCATCACAGAACAATTTGAAACCAAGGTACATACACAGATGTTTTACTTCGTCACAGAACAATTTGAAACCTAGGTACTGCATTCTAAAACAACTTTTCCACAGAACAATTTGATTTTCTAAAATAGTTATCCTGCTATTAAACATGAACAAATGTTTTTACTTCCTCGCTAAACAGTTTGACACTTGGTACTTTATTCTAAAACATTAACAAAAGATTTAACATTTTCATGGATCAATTTGGTTTCATGTATTTATATTCTAAAACATTTAAAAAGCTTTTTACATTTTGACATGAGATAATGTATTTCAAAGTATATACAAAGGATTTTCTTCCTCGCAGGACCTTATGACACTAGGCAAAATTTTCTAAAATATAAACAAAAGCTTTTTATTTTTCACAGAACAATTTGTCACTAAGATTTACAAAATCTTATTACTTTTTCATAGAACATTTTGACATAAGGCACTGTATTCTTAAACATAAGTCAAGGCTGGACAATATGACACAAGGTTCTATGGTATAAAATATAAACAAACGCTGCACAATTTTGACACTTGGTTACATATTCTGAAACATTTACAAAAGCTTTGTCTTTTTCACAGAACAATTTGACAGGTACTAGTACTTTACTCATTGCATAAACTTTTACATACACGACAGACCGTAGAATCGTGGTTTATTTTGTTTTAGCGATGTTTTATAGAAGAGTATGAAGGGGAAAGTTAAAGAACATAACCAAGGTAGGTTTGTGCTTAATATAAATGATAAATAAAAATGTGTGAAAAAGAGGAATTTTATAATTTATATTCAATAATATCTGGATTAAAAGACAAATGCCACGTTGTAATTCATAGGACGTCGATGTATAAAAGCAATACAAAGCCATGTTTTATGTTCATTTCAGATTGACCGTGGTCATTGTTCATTATAATAAAGACATATGAATAAATGGACCTTGTTCTTATTTATGACCACGGCCAGAGATTCAAAATACAAGTACATTTTTGAAAGACATTTTTCTAAGAACGGATCAAAATGCCAGCAGTAGGCTGTCCAATACCAGGCTGTGATTATGTCACGGACGACCTTGAGGCCGCCATCGTTGCCGCACTCATAACCGCTCACTGTACCACACACGCTCCTGGACAGACTGCCAAAGTAGAAAAAGTTAGAAGTCCCACAATAGCAACAGCAGGAACAAGTGAGGAATGGGCATATTTCCAATCTCGATATACTTGGATAAAGAAACCTTCCAAATCGCAACCATTCATTACTCTTACAATCAGAGCAATACCCGAGGACTATGAAGCCTTTGGTTTTAACCTAAATGCTGGAACATACGCTGTTCGTATTCCTGCCATGGCAGTCACTGGATGTCAAAGCTGTCTTGCGGGTATCAAAGTCACCCACAAACTTGGCCTCAAGCAAAGCGATCTCATTCCTGTAACTTTGAAAATGCACGCTGCAAATAACAGGGGCATTAAAATCCTCGGTGCCACAATCTTTCGGATCTCAGGAACAGATGAGCAAGGGAACCTTCTAGAGACTAGGCAAATGACATATGTTACTGATAATTCCGATAAGCTCTTCATCAGTAGGGGAGCATGCATTGCTCTTGGCATGATCTGGAAGTTTTCCGACAATTGGTGAAATTTACGACACACAATCCGAAGCAATGTATCAAACTCAAGATACCAACAACAGTGAAGTCGGAAGCATAAGCGGACTAGTGAATCAATGTGATTGTCCTAAAAGTCAACTACCACCTCCGCCACCTACAAGGTTACCATACAGTGGAAGTGAGTCCAACCGCCTAAACAAAAGGAATACCTCTTGGAATACTACAAATCGAGTACATTCAATGTCTGTGACCACCAACCATTACCACTAATGGATGGACCGCCAATGAAGTTGATGATCAATCCAAATGCTGAACCTGTCGCTCATCATACACCAGTGCCAGTACCATTACATTGGCAAGAGGAAGTTAAAGCTGGACTCGACCAAGACATCCGCCTTGGTGTCCTTGAACCAGTCTCTATTGGGGAACCAGTGACTTGGTGCCAACGGATGGTTGTATGTGCCAAGAAAAATGGCACACCTCGACGAACAGTTAATTTTCAGCCTCTCAATGTACACGCTAAGAGGGAAACGCATCACACTCCTTCGCCATTTCACCAAGCAAGGTCAGTACCACAAGGGAAAAAGAAAACCGTCTTTGACGCCTCGAACGGGTACCACAGTGTGCCGATTCAAGAATCTGACCGTCACTTAACTACGTTCAGCACTCCTTGGGGGCACTATCGCTATAAAACAGCCCCTCAAGGATACATTGCTTCTGGCGACGGATATACTCGATGATATGATGAAATAGTTGCCGAAATACCCAACAAAACTAAATGTATCGATGATGTCCTTCTCTGGTCTGATTCAATAGATGAGAGTTTCTTCGAAGCTGTCCAATGGCTTGACATATGTGGAAGACATGGCATCACACTCAACCCTGAAAAATTTTGTTTCGCAGAAGACACGGTTGAATTCGCTGGGTTTGCAATAACCCTCGACACAATTCGCCCTTGTACTAGATATCTTAGTGCAATTATGGACTTCCCGACTCCGAGAAATATCACCTATGTCAGAGCTTGGTTCGGTTTAGTAAACCAAGTATCGTATGCTTTTCAGCATGACAAACAAAATGCTACCATTCCGAGAGTTATTGAAACCAGGTACACCGTTCATCTGGGATGTCAATATCAATGCACACTTCGAGGAATCTAAAACTGCCATTATCAATGAAATTGAAGAAGGCGTGCGAATCTTTGACAAGACAAAACCTACATGTCTCGCCACTGATTGGTCGAAGTCAGGAATTCGGTTCTGGCTGTTCCAGAAACATTGCAACTGTCCGGACAACCAGCCACGGTTGGAAGGTAACACTTGTCGGGAGTAGGTTCACGCATGCAGCTGAGTCTCGATATGCACCAGTGGAAGGTGAAGCGTTGGCAGTGTCGATGCTCTTGATAAAGCAAGATACTTTGTTCTTGGGTGTGACGATCTTGTAATAGCAGTTGACCATAAACCCCTGTGAAAATATTTGGTGACAGATCATTGGAGGACATCTCTAACTCACGTCTCAGAAACTTGAAAGAAAAGTCCCTCCGCTATCGATTTCGCATGATTCATATTCCAGGGGTCAAGCATCTCGCTGCAGATAGAGTATCACGTCATCCAACCGGAAAATCTGAAAAGCTATCGCTTCAAGATGATATTGCAACAATTAACAATGTACCTTCTCTGAGACATGTTCTCCTACCTACATTGCCCTCAACATATTCTATTCTCAATGACAATGATGTTGATACCTGTACACCGCTTCAGCCGTATGCTCACTTGACTCACTTGCCGTGAAAGCAGTCACCTGGGACAGAGTTCGCACTGCCACGATAACATGCATGAACTCCTCAACCTTATATAATGCGGAGTACCTGAGTCTCGCAAAGAATTTCCTGCACATCTTCGTGAGTATTTTCAATTCCGCGAGCATCTCTACACAGTAGATGGTGTGACACTATACAAGGATCGTGTAGTTATTCCTCCAGCTCTCAGACAAGAAGTTCTTGCAGCTCTTCATTCAGCACATCAAGGAATTACCTCCATGGTATCGCGAGCAGAGTCCTCCGTGTTTTGGCCAGGTATCACACCTGCTATAACAACCCTTCGAGCTGGATGCAATCACTGCAATCGTATCGCACCTTCGAATCCTAGTGCTCCGCCTACACCCCTAATATCTCCAGACTACCATTCCAATGTGTTTGTGCAGATTATTTTCACCATCGGGGTGTTGGATATTTAGTTTTAGTTGATCGATACTCGAACTGGCCCATAGTTGAACGATATTCGAATGGTGCAGAGGGCCTTATTACTTCACTACGCCGAACATTTGTGACATTTGGGATTCCGGATGAATTGACATCTGATGGCGGACCTGAATTTACGGCAACGACAACCAGGCAATTCTTAAAAGATTGGGGAGTCCATCACCGCCTTTCCTCTGTGGCTTTCCCACACAGTAATTGCAGAGCTGAAAAAGACGTCAAAACCGTCAAACGTCTAATAGCCGACAACACAGGTAGCAACGGGGATCTCAACACCGATGCATTTCAACGTGCGATGCTCCAGTACAGGAACACACCTGACAGAGACACCAAGTTATCTCCTGCTACATGTGTATTTGGTCATCCCATCAGAGACTTCATACCTGTTCCGCCCGGCAGGTACCGTCCCCATAACACATGGAAGGAAACACTCGATGCAAGAGAGTAAGCTTTAAGACATCGCCACCTTAAACAGGGAGAGCGCTTATCGGAGCACACTAAAAGAATACTCCCACTCTCTGTAGGCGATCGGGTCCGCATCCAAAATCAAACAGGACATCACCCTCTTAAATGGGATTAAAATGGCGTTATCATAGAAGTTCGCCAATTCGACCAATACGTTGTTAGAGTTGATGGCTCTGGTAGGATCACACTAAGAAACCGAAAAATTTTTGAGACAATATGTGCCTGTCAGAAGTTTGCCAGAAGTCCGTACAATTAGGGATGATGAAACTTGGAATCAGTTTGTACCTCTTGTCAGCTCTCAGACAACTAAAGCGTCTGAGACCATTGTGAAACACAACCAGGACACTATTCCAACAACGCAAAATCCGAACACATATTGTACCCTCCCATCAACCACTTTACCTTCACCAAGTGGTCACACCCATAACACTCGTTTGGATGTTGATGCCCCGGAATGCCTTCCGATTGATCTCGGCAACACCAAAAATCATCCAGCTGAGATCCCACCTCCCAGTGATAGCACAAACTCTCCATCGCGGGTCACCTCCATGCCAAATTTTTTAGAGCAACGCAAATCTAGTCGTACCCGTCAACCGCCAACATGGCACCGTGATTTCGAGATGAACTAGTGTTATCATTACCTATATATGAACATACATTTTTGAAGTTTCCGTATTTCAAATGCTAACACGAGTTATCCGTGCATAAAATAGGGTGAATTGTGCACCTCTTGTGAAAAGCATGAAACCTGGCATGGTGGCAGGAAATCAGCTGTAGTCACAACTAGAACTGTATGAAATATCACCAATTCATTAAATTGCACATCAATTTATATTCAAGCCTCGGATCCAGGTTGTGCAAATCCAAGATTGCCGCCAAAATCCAAGATGGCCGCCATATATTAAATTTTTCAGAATATTAAAGTTTTACAGATGTAGTCGTTACAGGTCAGTATGAGTAGCACCACTTTAATATATACCCGAAATATACCCGACTGCATTCCTCTATTGATGCCACAAAGCATGTGCTCGTTATTTTATCAATAAAAATTAAACATCATATGATGCAAAATAAAAAGAAACTAAGACTGACGGTTTAAATTACTTTTTTTATTTTACTGATTTATTAAGTGTAGTACAGAATAGATAACAAAAGTTCAAAATAAATTGAAATATCATTAATGAAAACATAGTGTGTCTTTGCACAATTTCATGATATAAAGACAAACAACAATAACATCGACCCTAAGTCTAATAGACATTAGCTACCGGTATGATACAAGGAGGAGTGATGCTTTTCAACTAACAAATCATCGGAGTGATCATTTACCCACTTCCGACCATATATTACGTCGACATGTCCATAAGGTTGACTTGAAACTAATTAATAAATGATGAGTTTTAAACGTCCGTGGCCGAGTGGTTAAGGTCGTTGACTTCAAACCACTTGCCCCTCACCGCTGTGGGTTCGAATCCAGATAGGGACTTGGATTCTTTCATGTGAGGAAGCTACCCAGCTAGCTTACGGAACGTCGGTGGTTCTATTCAGGTGCCCGTTCGTGCCTGAAATAATTCACGGAGGGGAACCTGAGGTCTTCCTCCACCAGTAAAGCTGGAACGTCGCGATATGACCTATACTGTGTCGATGTGACGTAAAACCCAAAACAAACAAACAAACAAACAAACAAACGTAAATATGTTGACACTCGTCGTTACTGTTACACAAATTATCAAAATCAATGGTAAAGTGTAAATATGTATGTATACTCGTATATGTGTATACATGTATGTATAAGTGAACTTATTAAAGGTACACCGCCGAGGTATTTTGACAGGGACCGGGGAAAATTTTCAGATATTTATGTACCATTTGATGCAGGTCTGGACATTTTCACATTTTGTTCACATTATGAAAAAGAAAAATAATTGATGCAGGTCTGGACCAATAAATTGTGTGCAAATTTTAAGATCATATTCTCACCCGCTTATCCAAAAAAATCTTTTTTCTTTTTGCCAATCTTACCCAACAATGAAAAGAGTTGAACCGCATAAACTATAGATTATCAATATCATTCTGAGTATATTTGTTTATTCTCCTTTTCATTTTTTTTTCATTTTAAGTGCTTCACTTGGAAACTTTAAAAGGTCCCCAAGATATAAAAAATAAAACCGTACAAAACAAATCAGAGAAATTTCATGAATTATTTTAACGCTTCCTAACAAAAGACGTTTGCAAGACATATGATTTTTTATATCTCAAAATGTAATTGATATGAAGCAATAAACATTGATAAAAGGAAATAGAATTTAGTATGTAAATGAGGCTTTTTGAATCCGGATTTATCAGAAAGATCATTAACAAATGCTTCAAATAATGGTTGGATTTTATCTCTGCAGATAAGCAAGTGTGGTTCTGTTTCTATATTATTTTCCGTATATCTAACACCAGATTCTACTATGTACTCACTATACTTGAATTCTCTATTAAGCTCTTGGATAAAAATGCCCCATGGGTATTGTAAAAAGTGATAAAATGAAGCGTTAATTGTCACAAGCAAACAATCTTGAGTCGGGAGCAAAACATTTGCCGGACTTATAGTAAGGTCATTTTCCTCAGCATTTTGTCCAAATTTAATAAGCGATACATTATCGTTGTAATCAATTATAGAGAAGACCAAAGAGGTAGAGTTATGGTTTTTGGTTTCCGCCTTGAAAAGATCTATTTCAACAGATAGTTCAAATTCTTGTTGTTGATTTTTTGATTGGACATAAAGGATAGAGTCGTGATAGTTGTAGATTGATTCAATGACGGAGATATCTACCGGTGCGAAAACTGGGATGTAAAATTGAATATAAAGTACTATAAAATCAACGGTAGTATTTGAGTAATGAGTTTCAGACTGTTTCAGGAAAAATCTAAATATGAAAGTTTTTATGTTTTCATTTTCAAAAAAGGAAACAAAATGTTCGTTCAGCTTTTCGATTACTTCCGTAACATGTTCACCAGAAAGAGACTGTAAGGTTGTAATCTTTAAAAATACGTCATATGCTGCTCCTGCTATCTTGTCCACAATGTTGACGCATTTTCCACCGATGAGAGATTTAAAGCCCCTGCAAACAAGCTTTACACATTTTCCCTGAAATAAAAAAAGCACCATGAAATCCCTGAAATACAAAAAAGCACCATGACAATATTTAATCGTATTATTTGAGTACAGAGCCAATAATAGGGAGCACCATTCGCTAGAAGCAGCTTCCAGAATGTTTTGACACACAGGGTAACAGGAAAGGCAACCATGTGGTTAACTAACAGAAAAGGAAAACATTGTATCTGCGACTGTTGTATTTTACATTTAACTACATCTATAAAAAGCGTAAGTTAAAGAATAAACAGTGCCGTTATCCGTTTTCTACATAACTCGGATAGTGTTCATGTACTCGTTTTATGCTCTCATATAAGTGTGTGAAGTTTCAACTCATTCCCTTCAGTAGTTTTGACGATACCAACTTGCACGCAAAACCTTAACCAATATATATGTGACGCCGAAGCCTTAGTGAATACAATAGCTCTCCCTGTTCTACGAACAGTTGAGCTAAATATCAGCCATCGGGCCTGATTTGGTGTTTGTAATATCACTTGTTTGTCTATGTCATGCTAGAATTGAATTATCATCTGAGCGGTGTTCATCGATTTTTCCAGCTACTTGTCGTTTTAATCGAAAGACAAAAATCACTAACGAATAAGACCTATAACCATGGTCAATTTCTAACCAAAAACCGGTTTGAAACAGCCGATAGACAACTCTCAGGCCGATATAATTTCTGTATTGAAAATCAAAGGAGAAATGACAACAGATAATAATACATGATGTACTTCGTTGTAAATGTTATTTACAGCATAAAGACATGATGTGCTCAATTACAACACTTGGCATATTTGTGATGGAACCAGAAATTGTAAATGCCTGCGTATCACAGCCGCTAGCCCAAAAAAATGTGCGCTTTACGGCTTTTTATTATATAGACGATGTCCGCCCTTCTGTAAAGACAGACATCTATGAAATATCAGATTATAAAATTGGTCGGTCTTGCAGTCGAAATATTGAGACTACACAGTCGCCAAAAGACATACTCAAATTTTGATTCATATTTATTAGAATACTAGTATATTACAAAGTTTGGTGCGTACCTGTATTGGATCGTACAGTATGTCTTTTGTGCATGTGCCATGTTGTTTTCCATTTAGTTCTAAGTCATTATTTGCCTTATTACCTGATATTCCGTTTTCAATGTCAATGTTCAGAAAAACTGTAAACGAAATATTTATAACCGGGGTTCGTCTACAGGCAAGATCTTTCAGAGGCAGAATTTCATTGCACAAAAAGCAAAATACATTTTTGTATGTATTTTGAAAGATAGCCGTGTAAGCGCCACATGCTCTTTCAATAACTTTGTTATAACTGGCCCATATACCAGTCATATTGCATCTAGTAATTGGAATAAAGTGACATCTATTTCCGGTTTCTACCGGAAATGGGTTAAAGACTAAATTACACGTGTCACTTAACATAATATCATCGACTACCGTTTCTAGGCTTCTTGTAATAAATTGCCCTGAGCCGCAAACAACTTTGGGCTTCCAGTAATGAATGTCTTCGTCACTTAAACCACTGCAATATGCACAATAACGATTTTGATATGTGGTATTGGTTGCTGCATTAAAAACAGGAATTTTTGAATAAAGATCATTGTACTTAAAGCTGTTTATACACCTGTCAGAAAAGGAAGAATTTTTCGGATCACCAGCACAGGAAGTGATCATGTCATAGGCATCATCTGAACCAGAGTAATATTTACTTTGTGGTTTTAATTCGGGGCGGATACATTCAAATATTGTAGCGGGTACTTCTTTAGCGTAAAAAATGACCTCAGGGCAGCAATTATTGTTTCCACCGCATAAAGAAGTATTACATGAACATGGTTCACAGCAAATAGATGACGCGTCAGGTATTTCTACTTCACGATATTGTTCCAGTGTACTGTCAGCAAAGTCTGTCATTTCGTTTTCAAGATGCTCCGTCATCCGGTCTTCAACACCACGCGGGTATCTTTCTTTTCCAAAGTTTTTCTCCCATGAATGATACTCTGCTCTTTCGCTATCATGATTCTCATCATATGCATCACGCTCCCACCTGTCGTTTCCATGGAACTCCGGAGAGCTAAGTTGACAATTATATTTAGATTCATCAGGTACTGAACTACTAAAAGTATCAGGAGTACAGAAATGATAGTGTATATCAGTAAGCAACTCGATTTCAACTCCACTCCACTCCTGGCAGTAGGAGCGGGTCTGTAGAAGGTAGAGTACAGTTATAAATACAGTCGACATTTTCACTACCTGAATAAATGAAGAAATACATCTTTAGTTATGTACTTACACATACTGAAAATGGTTGGAACTAAAAATAATTATAAAAGAGGTAAGGAGGGGTTTTGTCAACAAAAAACCGGCTTATCAAAAGAGAAAAGGAGAGTTATTCAGTATTCAAGTAGGACTACTGAAAAAATCCAAGAATTAAAGAATTGAATTACAAATACCAACAACACGACAAAATAGTCATTCTGAACGA